GAACATCCAGTGTCCTTACTGAGCTGTGTATCAGAGTTCCTTTGAACAAGGCTGAGGCTAGAGTCTCTCTTGCGCTGTATGTCCGGAAGCAGGGATTTTGACACAACAAGCAGCCTTCCATGGATAAGACTGTGGGGCCAGAGTCAGGGCAGGGTTCTTTCTCGGGCTTGAGTGCAGCCTCCACCCCTCTCATTAGCAGAAGTATGAGCACAAGGATGGCATCTCCAGCCACACAACAGGATGTAGGTCAATGCAGGTTCATCTGTAGGTCAAGGTGAGGTCCTGGCAGCCCATTAAAGCAGGCGTGGATGAGGAAGCAGATTCAGGCACAAAGTACTCTTAGGTACAGATGCCAGTTACATGGGGATAGCTAGGATTTGCAGAAGGGAACAGAGAGGCTTGGTTGCCAGCTCTCTGAATTCCTTTCAAACTTGTGATCTATCAGGTTCCCCCTATCATACACAGGATGTCCTGCACATCCCTGAGTGTTCCACCCATATCCCTCTGTGTACAGGTGTCGATGTGTATACACTGACAGTCATTGCTAAGCCAAGATCTGATGCCCATTGAAGCCTCAAACGCCTTGTGAGTGGAGGTCTCACTAGACACGGAAGACTGCAGGTCTTACCACTCTGTCAATGGATCTGGGACACAAAGCTTCTGTCTCCAGATGCTCACATGAACCTGGAGGTTCCTTGCAGGAGGTGAAACCAGGGCCTGAGTGGTACAAGCATCATTGTGGATACTTCTCCCATAGTGGAGGTGACCTGGTGACCGATTCTATCACACAGAACCAAATACTCTGAGCCAGGATGGCCTGTGGGCTGGGTGTGGTGTAGTAGAGTGAGAAATCATTAGGTAAGTGTAGGAGTGAACCCCACAAAGCTATCCGCCCATGGGGGCGGGGACAAGTAAATTAGCACAGGTAGAGATGAAAGGAAGCAAAAGGGAAAAGGACCTCCCTTTTTGGACGCCAGCCACGCTTCTAACTCCTAGCTTGTGTGACTCTCTCTGGTAAATAAATATATTGTATCCCCTATAACATCGGCTATCATCATTATCTGGTATCAGAAGTGGGATCTCATATATAATCCAGGATGGACTCAATGTCTTCCTCCTCATTCCCTCTTCCTTTCTCAATTTCAAAAAGGGTTGAAATCCACTGCCTACACAGTGCTCAACAAGCTGTTATGACATGTTTGCCGACTTCTTCTTCTTCTTCCTCTTCTTCTTATGTTATTATAATTATTAATCTTAGTATGGTGTACTGAAAACCGTGTTTTTTGAGTAGCCCTGGCATTTGAAACTCGTTTTGTACACAAGATAGGACACAAACTCATAAAATACCCCTTCCTCTGCCTCCAAATAGTAAGATTTAAGTAGTTTGCCAAAATGCACAGTTATATTTAATAATTTATGTTTGCTTTCTGTGTATGTGATTTGACAGAATGCACACATGTAATGATGATAGTCGATGCTATAGGGGATACAATATATTTATTTACCAGAGAGAGTCACACAAGCTAGGAGTTAGAAGCGTGGCTGGCTTCCAAAAAGGGAGGTCCTTTTTCCTTTTGCTTCCTTTTATCTCTACCTGTGCTAATTTACTTGTCCCTGCCCTCATGGGTGGATAGCTTTGTGGGGTTCACTCCTACAGGTAAGACATGGCAACCTTGAAGTTGTATGTGGCCAGGTAGGTCTGCCCCATTTCCCAGGAAGATTATCTTCTATCCCATTTGTTAAATGCAGCTCTAAGCCCCAGATTGTATCCCAAAAGTGAGATGCAAATTGCAACCTCTGCCTGTTGCCATTTGCTTATTTTCTGTAGCCCAACTAACCACATACACTGGGGTCTGCTTAGAGATAGCTTCCAGTAAAAATATTTTATTGAGATACCGTTCATGTACCACACATTTAACACATTTTAAGTATATTCCTATTCCATGGTTTTTTAGAAGTAATTCCATCATCACAAATGAAACCCTGTGTTCCCCAAACCATGCCTCCTCAGTCCCAACCCCTGGTGGTCACTATTCCACTTTACCATAATTTCTTTAACTTGAACTTTGATACAAATTGAACCACCAAGTATGTCTTTTGTGCCTGGCTTCTCTCGAATCACATTTTCAGGGTCCACTTACATTGGCATCAGTTGATGATTCAGAATATTCCATCATGTGAACAGGCCACATTTTGTTTATTCTTCATCCATAGATGTAGATGGAAGTTTCTGTCCCACAAGCCACTCCCAAGTAACTGACACGGATACTTAATATTAATTGTAAATGCTCGGGCAATAGCTCAGGCTTGTTACTAGCTAACTCTTTCTTTTAAATTAACCCGTATTTCTCATCTATACTTTGCCACACGGCTCATGGCTTGTTACCTCATTTTCCACACATCCTGCTTTCTCTGCATCTTCTGGTGTCTGTCCTGCTCCATCCTTCTTCTTCCCACCATTCTCAGTTTGGCTCTCCTCCCTAACTTTATCCTGTTCCGCTATTGGTCAGTCGGCTTCTTTATTAAACCAGTCACAGTGACAAATCTTCATAGTGTACAAAAGGACTATTCCACAGCACATAGAATCACATCTGGGCTACTTTGCCTCCTGATGTAAAACCCTGTGTAACGTCTATGGAGACCTGCTTTCTCCAGCAGAGACCCACACACGGAACTGCGGGGTCTGATAGTAACCCCACTGATTTGAGGAGCTGCCAGACATTCTCTAAGTGACTGGACCATTCTGCGTTCCCATCGGCAGTGTCTGAAAGTTCTAGTTCATATTCTCATATTCTCACTGGCACTTGTTACTGTCGGACTCTATCTTTCTATGTGGACTGTCCTTCAGAGCTAAGGCATTGTGTGTGTGTGTGTGTGTGTGTGAGAGAGAGAGAGAGAAAGAGAGAGAGAGAGAGAGAGAGAGAGAGACAGAGACAGAGACAGAGAGACAGAGAGACAGAAAGACAGACAGAGACAGAGAGACAAAGACAGAGGAAAGAGCTATTTGTAAAGACAGAGGGAAAGAGCTATTTGTATACCTTCTTTCGTGATATTGTGAATGGGATTTAAAATTTTCCATTTTCAGATTATTTCTTGAAAGTTAAAGAGATGAAATTGACTTTTGTATATTTATCTTATGTCCTTCAATGTTACAGAATTAATTTTTCAGCTCTAATGTGTTCATTTACTTTAGTGGATTATTTAGGCTTTTCTGTACACAAGGTCATGTCACCTGTGAATATACAGTTATTTCTTTCCAAACTGGATTTATTATTTGTGTCTGTCCCGGCTTGAACCTTCAGAACTTCTTGGATAGGAGTAGCAAGGGCAGACCTGATTATCTGATCTTATTGGGATGGGGGGTGAGACAGGGTTTCTCTGTATAGCCCTGGCTGTCCTAGAACTCACTCTATAGAGGAGACTGATTTTGAACTCAGAGACCTGTCTGTCTCTGCCTCGAGAGTACTGGGATTAGAGGCATGCACCACCACACTGCTCTGATCTTTTGTTTTTTGTTTGTTTTTCGAGACAGGATTTTTCTGTGTAACAGTCCTGGCCATCCTGGAACTCACTCTGTAGAACAGGCTGGCCTCGAACTCACTGAGATCCACCTGCTTCTGCCTCTCAAGTGCTAGGATTTGATCTTACTTTTTAAATAGTCTATTATTATGAATTATATTAATCAATTTCTGGTGCTAAGTCAGTCTTGCTTCCCTAGCAAATCTTTCTCCATCATGTTTTTTTTAATGATTACATGTATCTACTTATTGAGGGGAGGGCATTGTGCCATAGCCCATGGGTGAAGGGTTAACTTGTAGAAATTGGTTCTCTCCTTTCCACCATGGGGGTCTTGGGAATCAAAATCATGTCCTCAGTCTTGGTGGCAAATGCATTTACCTAATGAGCCATCTCAGAGGCCCTCCATCATGGCTTCTGGGTCTCCTATCTGCTGCTGGGTTCCGTTTGTTATCACTTTAAGCTTTTATTGTTTCATTTTCGTTTCTGAGATGGTTTTATGTAGCCTGCTCTGGCCTCAAGATCAATATACAGTTGAGGAAGGCCTTGAATTCCTGATCCTCCTGCCTCTACCTCGAAAGTGTTGGGGTTAGAGGGGCACACCATCATGCTTGGCCTTATTTAATCTTTGTGCCTTTGTAGTTTTCCTAAGATCACACTGTCCAGGTTTTGTGCTGAAGTCAACAGAATGAGCTCGGAAAGTGTTTCTTCCTCTCTTGTAATGGATAGTGAAGACTTGGTGTTAATACTTGGAATGCTGGAGAACTCTGTGTATGGGCGGTCTGGACTTAGGATTTCTGGGTGGGCAGACTGTTGGCTTAATCTCCCAGCCACTGCCTCTTTGTCTATCCAGATGCCCATTTCTGTTTTGCCCTTCTAGAATTTGTCCGTTGCATATAAATTATCCACCTCACAGGCACATTATTCACAGTGTGACATATATATATATATATATATATATATATATATATATATATACATATGTATATCCTTTTCCTCCTTGGTGGCAGTAGCAGTGTCCCCGCTTTCATTTCCTGTTCTAGTTGTATGAAATATGTCGATTTTGATCATTTCAAGAATAGACTTCTCAGGTCTACCCTCTGGGTATTCCTGCTCTAATTTCTATTGCCTCGTTTGGTGTACTGTGATTTCCTTTTTCTCCTTTGCCTAGCTGTCTAAAAGTGGAATGATAGTGTTTCATGCCAAAGCCTTTTTTAGTAGGCATCCCACCGATCAAACCAGAAGTGCTCAGTGGTCAGTGATTCCAGATTTTAAATGCCTTTCCAGTTTCGGAATCAACCTGCTCATTAACCCACGTATGGAAATGTCAAATAAATCTTCAAAAGAGGAGGGGGGCAGATTGGGCTTTTTCAGCCAAATTCTTCTATTATCTTCCACTCCCACATGTCCCTGGTGCGGGGTCTGTGTGACATCCACGTCCCTGACTTCCTCATCTGCCAACCGGATATTCCTCTCCTCCTTAGGGCGAGTGCTCCACAAAGTGCCGCAACCTGTTCGTGCTGGAGACGGTGTGCGTGGCCTGGTTCTCCTTCGAGTTCCTGCTGCGCTCCCTGCAGGCCGAGAGCAAGTGCGCCTTCCTGCGGACTCCGCTTGCCATCATCGACATCCTGGCCATCCTGCCCTTCTATGTGTCCCTGCTCGCGGGGCTGGCGTCGGGGCCCACGGGCAGCAAGATGCTGGAGCGCGCGGGGCTGGTGCTGAGGCTGCTGCGGGCGCTGCGCGTGCTCTACGTGATGCGCCTGGCGCGCCACTCGCTGGGACTGCGCTCGCTTGGCCTCACCGTGCGCCGCTGCGCGCGCGAGTTCGGACTGCTGCTGCTCTTCCTCTGCGTGGCCATGGCGCTCTTCGCGCCACTCGTGCACCTGGCTGAGCGCGAGCTGGGCGCTCGCCGCGACTTCTCCAGCGTCCCCGCCAGCTACTGGTGGGCCGTCATCTCCATGACCACCGTGGGCTATGGAGACATGGTGCCGCGCAGCCTTCCGGGCCAGGTGGTGGCGCTGAGCAGCATCCTCAGCGGCATCCTACTCATGGCCTTCCCTGTCACCTCCATCTTCCACACCTTCTCCCGCTCCTACTCGGAGCTCAAGGAGCAGCAACAGCGCGCGGCCAGCCCTGAGCCGGTCCTGCGTGAGGACAGCACGCACGACGACAGCATGCGTTCGGCCAGCGCCACGGAGGACAGCTCGCAGGACCCCGAGAGTGCAGGCGCAGCAGGGAGCTTGCCAGGTCTGGTGGGACCTTAAGCCCAGTGCTCGGCTGAGAGCTTCCAGGGGGTCAAAGTCTGGGAGAACACCAAATACCCAAGTCACAAACTTGGTCTGGCATGTCGTTGCGGTCGGCCTGGCACCCCAAGCAACCTTAGCTTCGCATAGCCTGGAGGATATAGCAGCCTGGTCTTTCTCCCCCTTTTAGTTTCCCTCCAGTTTTAAATTTTCTATGGCTAATTAAAAACAATTGAGTCCCAGAAATTCCAAGTCTGAAGCAGATGACCACCACCCTAGACGAACTTTTGCCCTCCCTTGCTCATAATCTAGGGCTGCCCCAGGAAACAAAGGGTAGCATCTACCTTGTGACCCTTAGTGGGCAATACCCCATGTAAAGGAGATGATTGCTGGGCGGGCACCTGACACTGCCAATGTCCATGTCACCTGGCAAGTGACGTGGTTTGATAGGACACTTAGCCCCCTAGTTCTAAAAACGCTTTGCAGGAGAGGAGAGATCTCAGCGTTGACCTCCCTACCACTCACTGTTCTTCCACACCAGCTCAAACAGGCCATGATTGCTCAAGGTTTGCATAGTGCCTTTTTAACCCTTCCCCTGCCCTCCCAGATGGTCTGTGGTAAAGTTGTCTGTCTCCCGGGGATGTTCTCTTCCATTGGGACCTTTCCCTCAGATGAAGACAAAACCCTTAGTGGAAGTCCTAGTGGGGTGAGGGGGCAGTTCAGGGAAAAGATGGTGAAGCCACCTCCAGGAGGCTCCCGCCGGATGCTGGTATACCAAGGAAGCTGTGGCCACAGCATGCCCAGTCCTATGTCCTTCTGGGAAAGTTTTTAGGAGGCGAGGAATCCTCCTGGTCTCTAAAGGAAGAGAAGCCCAGAGCGGGTGGTCTGCTAGCTCAGAAGGAATGTGTCCTTCCCTCCCCACCATTCTCAACAGAGCTGATTCACACACACACACACACACACACACACACACACACACACACACACTCCCTCCATATGGTAAGAGGGTAACTTTTGATGCCCCTGGTTGAGAGTGCTGTTAGTTGCTGGTCAGAATGACAAGGGGTTCCTTGCTCATTCCTCATGGCTTCCCTAGCTTCCAAGGGACAGAAATCTGAAGTTTACTTCTGGGATCTTCATGGAGGAAATCAGTGCACCAGCCTAGCAGGAGTCCATACTGTTCCTGGAGAGGGGGCCACCTCGAAAGCCAGCTTGGTACAGAAGCGTTCCCTCTGACTGCTGGTATCAAAATCCCTTTTGGGACCTAAGCAAGGCCAAAACCATTGTTACAGAAGGACAGTTCACCTTGAAAGTCCCAGACCCATCTTCAGTTTGTGTTCAAGGTCTACTCATGTTGTTACACATGCCAGGGAGGCAGGTCTGAGTACACTGGGGTAACTTCCATCTCCACCCGCCTCTTGGAGGAAGCTCTGGCTCTTCCAGACCCTGTATTTTCCCTGTTCCTTCAAAGGTATCTTTAAAAACTCTGTTGGTTTTGGTCCTGGTGGATGTGGGCCCAGTAGCAACAAGTAGGCTCTGTTCTGTGGAGGCTGCAGGTGGGGGTCTCAGCAAGCCCCGTGCCAGGCTCCAGGTTTCAGCCAGGCTTAGCCAGGCCCATGCTGAGCCACTATTTTCTACATCTGAAAGCAATGCACCCTCTTTGTCTCAGGAGATTGTGCAAAGATCCCAGAGAAGGTGGGATGCTCTGAAGACAGGTGGAAGAAGGTTCTCTTGGGTGGGTCACTGGTCTCTATCCCTTGCTTGGTCCTGGGGGAATACTGCTGGCAAGACGTTACCTGTTTGCTTCCCAGGACCCTCTCCCATACCTAGTGCCTGGATAGGTGGAGCCCATTTGTGTGCATATCTGCCACTCCGTGCCACCCCTACCCTTAGAGACATACCATGGCTATCCAAGCCCATTCGAGTCTGGATTCAGTTCTCTACCTGACACCCTGACATCACCCACCTGCCCTGGGAGTGAGGACCATTTGAGGCCGGGCTAACACAAGCAGCCAGAATGCTAGCTGAGTCAAAGGTCGGGGTGCTCTGTTCCTGCTGTGTGCATTTGCCAACCCCCCCTTCCAAATCATAGGAAACCAACCCCCTTTCACCTCTAGCAGCCCCAGGCTCCTAGATCATAAATGACTCCCAACTAAGAGGAACTCAGCTTACTGCTGTGCAGAGGAGCTAGCAACTTTTTATTTGGTCGCAGTAGATTCTTGCAAAGCCTGTGGTACAAGGCCCTCAAACGGGCCTGAACTGAGCTCACACAGGGGCCTTGCTGAAAGCTACTGTGCAGTAGGGCAGTGATGATGGCCTGAAGACGAGGACCTCCCTCCTGATGAAGAAGGTCTATGACTATCTTAGGTATGGTGTGTGTGTGTGTGTGTGCGTGTGCGCTGACACCTGCCAGGCTAGTGAGTCACAACCTCAGCCTTGCAGGCAATGACCCTGCGGTCTACCGACACCCTGCCAGGCTAGAGAACAGAAAGGTGCCTCACTCCAGAGCTTCAGTTTCCTCACCGGTAAAGAGTTGGTCCCCCAAACCTTCTACCTCAGCAGCTTGGAAAAGCATAATCCCAGTCATGACTGCGTATCTCTGGCTTACCTGGAACCCTCTGTCAGCTTCAGAGGGCAATTTGAGCCCATTCATCAGAGAAATCCACATCCTCAAATGCCAGACAGATACCCTCATCCACCCAGACCTGGACCCAGCTCGCTAAGAGCCACATGAGCCCTTCAACCCAATGTAACCCTGTACCAGTCTCCACCTCCCAAACTAGTACCAGCTACCCCTCTCCAAAAATTTGTTCTACCCTCGCCAGCCTCTACCCTACTCTCACCGCACTCCTGCCCCGTCTGCCTGCTATGATTCCATCCTCCCTACTGGACCCACAAGCTGTTTACTGACTTAAAGACACCACATGGAGTATGTTCATTCAGCAGCTGGGCCTGCAACTGATGGCATTTACTTTGGAGGTAATTACCACTACAGACATTTTCATCTTTAAAAAATAAACATCTTGCAAGCATCTTACAGGCCAGAGAGTAAGCAAGAATCTCACTCACACACTTAGAATATCTGAGGGACTCTTCAGCCATCCGGTGAGCCACCATGATTGCCAGAGCTATTGTGCTGACTGTGGATGGCATCACTGTGTGCACAAGAAGACCTTCTGCCCAGCAGAAGGGAAGAAACTGTTATGTAGAAGCATCTAGAACATTCTGGACCCAGGAACCAGCCAGGTCAGCACAAGGCTGCCAAGAATACATGATCTCATGATGAGCAGAAAGAGGGCAAAATACAGTGACCAGTGTCAGGCCAGCAGCTTCCATCTCCACCAGGTGCGGCAGACACACCCGCGGTACCCACAGGGGAGGACAGAACAGAGCAGGAGGGCAGACAAGCCACCAGCAGCCATGACTGCACAGTCTAGAGTGCCACGGGCTCTTCTAGGAGACCAGAGGCTCACTGAGGGAAACCGGCTGGGCCTGCCCTCTTGCTCGGTTGCATGGACCTATTTCAGGGTCGGATCAGTGTTTTTCTGAAGGAGACACCTGCCTTTTCCTTGAAAACACCACAGAGCCAGTCCTAGCTCCACTGTCTCAGGGTACTCCACCTGAAGGCTATGGGGACAAGCAGTCCACTTCATCTCTCTGCCCACACCCGGCCTGATCATCTGTGGAGTGCACAGGGCTAGCCTCCCTAATGCAGAGGCATAGGCTGGGGCTCAGCTCCTACGGCTGATTGGTCGCACGGCCTTGCCTTCCCTCCATGCCTCTCAGAGGGCCTTGGCACTGACAGGGTGCACTGCATGAGGTGCTGGCTTCTGGGGGTGGTGAGCAAAGGCATAGGCCTGCCCCAGGATAGCCAGGTCCACCATGACCTGCAGCAGACCACAGACTGAGAACTGCAGGGGTGCACCGTTGAGCAAGAAGTAGGCCGTCTTGAAGGTGTCACCACTTGTCCACATGAGCACCATCTTGAGGCTGTAGGGATACAAAGGGACGTCAGTGTTGACCCAAAGACAGGGACATACAGAGGGACATATATACAGGTCAGCAGTGTGACACAAAGGAGTAGGGGGCACATTAAAAGTGGGGACCACAGAAGGAGGCGGGATACCCTGACCCAAGTCTGCGCAACCTAGCAGGGTACCCCTCTGGCACCCTTCCCTGGTCCCAGAGAGAAAGAGGGGATGGGACTCACACCAGGACCTGGGAGTTCTGACACCCGTGGGTCAGACCATGGCTCAGACCATGGCTCTGGCCAGGCCTTGAGAATGACTTAATCACAGAGAGCCACAAGGGCTAGTAGCCAGGGAGGCCAGGACCTCAGAGTTCTTCAGCCTGGCTCAGTAGGTTCCCACACTGGGGGCTACACATGTGGAGTGGGTGGAGAAGGCAGAGGCAGGACACAAATCTGCCCTGGGGCCTTCTCTCAAGGCAGATTTCCATCAGAGAAACAGAAATGACCACTGCCTGCCGCCCACACATCCCTTGTCTTCACACGGCATTAGAGACCAAAGACTGATGTAACTGTTTTGCTGCATAAGAGATGCAAACAAGCCCAGCTTTCCTGGCAGCTGAACCTGCAGCACAAACTTACACTACATGCATCCCAAGTGTGCAGGCTGCAGCTGATGCCCCCAGGCAGACAGTTGATTGCCACTGACAGCTGCAATTCCCCTAACACACCATGCAGAGGAAGCATCCCACAAGCTAAAGACACAACCACTTGCTCTGGCCACCTCTGCAGTCTGCCAGCTTCCTTCCTCCTGCAGACACCAGCTTACTCCCTCCTGAAATGGCTGTCTGTTTATGCCAACCTCAGTGCTGCAGCTCGGATGCCTAAGAACAAAAGGGGCAGCGGACCCAGGTGTGGTGGCACTTGGATGGTGGGGGCAGATGGCTCAGGAGTTCAAGATAAGCCTCAGCTACAAGACTTTGTCTCAAAATGAACAAGCAAACATTACTAGAAACCAGTTATGAGAAGATACCACACACATACACAATCCAGATAAAGGACCCCTGATGGGTATACTAATGTGGGGCCATATGGAGGGTACTAGTGACTGGTGTTTCACATGTGGCTGGAACAGTCTGGGGCTGCAGGTGGCTGAAGTCAGTCTGTATGACATGACACATACAGGGCCAGGAACGCCAGATTTCACCTCTCAGACAAGTGGCAATGTCCCTCATAATCCTACAATAGCAAATGAACAGGAAACAACACCCATAGGATCTTCATTCAGTTAGAGTCAAACCCAGAAACAAGGCTTTCAGTTCTCATTTTAAAATCAGGCAAAGCCAGGGGCTAAAGCAATGGCTCAGCAGTTAAGACCATTGGCTGCTCTTCTAGGTCCAATTTCCAGCACCCACATGGCAGCTTAAAACTGCCGGTAACTCAAGTTCTAGGGGATCCAACACCCTCACATAGACATATGTGGTAGCAAAACATCAATGTTCATAAAATAAAAATAAATTATTTTTAAAAATCAGGTAAAGCCAAATCAGTGGGCTGAGAACACCCAGGGTAATAGATGGAGGTGGTGGGAATGAAATCCGGGTCTTGTTGAGTCACCTGTGCATACAACAACACCCTCACACCTGAGCTCCGGTCCCCCAATAGAGGAGCAGAGCATGGGGAGGGTTGGGGCCACTCCCCTGCTTAGGTGGGCTACATGTGATTCACCACCTCTCAAACAGAGCCCAGGATTCCCCTTCGACAGACAGACAGACAGACAGACAGACAGACAGACAGACAGATATGCCAAACTTCCATTTGCCTCTGGGACAAGTCACACCTGTCCAGGCCCCCGGGAAATGCCTGGACAGTCATGTCTATATACTTATCCCAAGCAGAAAGCAGGTGCTAGACTCTCAGACCCCAGCCTTAAAGTCAGTGGCCCAAAACCCTGGTCAGACAGCAGACTACACAAGGGGCATGCCATGGCCTAGACAGAAACTGGAACCAGCTGGGATTCGTGTGGGTTTGCTGCAAACCCACATACATCAGGAAGACCCTGCAGCAAAAGGTGACTAACCTGCCCCTCAGAATCACAGGCGCCTGGAGAGCATGTGCTAAGACAGAACATGCAGAGGTGACCTGTGTGTATGATCCAGTTAGACATACAGAAAGGATGTTTAAATAATCCACCCAATGTTACATACTAAGTGGGTATGGGATCCCTTGGGCTCAATTCCAAAGTCTGGCAGAGACAGGTCTGCAGCACAGGATGTACAACTGTAGGCCTTAGCCCCAGACCACCTGTCCCTGCCCAGGACACCTGCCCAGTGCCCTCACTGCTAAGATCCCATTGGCCCCAAATGCATAGTTGTGTCTGTAACAGCAAGTGGAGACATGAGGTAATCGCTGGAGCATGGCACGACCCAGTGCCAAGGATATTCTTAGCCTCTTGGATTCTTCCTTTGGATGGTCTCTATCCTCCAAGAAAGACAACTTGTTGGTGATGCCAACACCACTCTGTTACCGGGACAGGAATCTAACCATGCTGATGCTTTGACACACTCTGAATGGCTCCGAGAGGTAGCAGGAGGAAAGGAGACCACGGTCTACACATCAGAAGCTACAGTGCCTCTGGACACAGGGAAAACTCATGGGTCAGTTTCCTGTGTCCAGTGCTTCGTTTTCTCTGAGGCAATAAACACTAGCTATTCTACACACTCGAATTTCCCCCAACCCTTTACTTCATGTGCAAAGAGTGAACACTGCCCCTGAAATCCCAGCACTCAGGAGGCTAAAGCAGAAAGATCAAGTGTTGAATAGGCCGGGCATGTTGATGTACTTAGGAAGCAGAGGCAAGAGGATCTCTGTGAGTTCAAGGCCAGCCTGGTCCACATAGCAAGTTGTAGGACTACATAGAGAGACCCTGTCTCAAAGTGGGGAAGGGGAAGGAAGAAAAATAGAGCCCAGGGGCAGCCTGGGGAAGTGGTAGTAGAGACAAATTGCATCCCAAGAAATCTGTCACTCATCCTTGGATGGAGGAAATAGCTGCCTTAGGGTCTAGCCAAAAGATACCCAGAGTACAAGATATTTGCTCTCCTAGGTAGTGAGCCTTGCAGCAAAGCCAGTGTGGGTGTGGAGCAGACTGTCATCACAGACGCCTAGATTTTCTACTTCAAGATAATATTCAAGCAGGAAGCAGAGGGAGGGAGTTCAAGACCACATGGTGGCCTCGGCACGGCTGCAGCGCCCTCTGTGCTCCCTCTCTGCGCAGAGCTAAGGGCTCTCTCTTCAATGGACCTCTTGGCCTGACCCTTCTGTCCTCCCCCACTGTTTTAATCTCGGCTCCCATTACCTCATTCTTGGCTCCAGCATTTTTCTTCCAAACCAGGCTGCCAGATCACTGCTCTTAAAATACCTCCTCACCTCATCTTTGCCCTGGGCAGCCGACAGGGGTGCCTCTCTTTGGCACCCAGGACAGTAAAACCAACTGTTGCACCTGCTCATCTCTCCTTCCCGCGTCAGCCCACTGACATGCTGACCATTCTGACCTCAACCCAGGACCAAGTAGCTTCCACCGTCACCTTTAAAAGCTTCCCCAGGACTGACACCAACCCGCCATGTCCCCTTGGAGGTGATTTGTAACCCTGTGTTAGGCAGTTCTCTTAGATGGAACACCAAAAGCAATAAAAGAAACAGAAGATATATTCCATGTCACCAGAGCTGACAGGGTGTTAAGTCTCCCAAACTCTCCTTGCAATCCTAACATAGCTGGGGATGACCCTGAATTCATAATTCTCCTGCCTTCACCTCCTAAATGCTGGGTTTACAGGTGTGCACCCGATGCCTAGTTTGTGTAGTACTGAAGATCAAACCTCCAGAGCATGCTGGCCAAGCACTCTACCAACCGAGCCGTTCCCATCCCCCAGACTTAAAACTTAGGCATTGCAACAGACAACACTGAAAAAGCAGGCAGACAAAGCCAGAGTGGGATATAAAGGAAATATTTATAAATCATATATTTGATATGATTCTAATACCCAGAATAGAATGTTTTAGTTCTTACAATTCAGTAATAAAACAGTACAAATACACATTTTAAAATGGGCAGGGATCCCAAAGAGACACTTCCTCAAGGACATAGCCAGGGCCACATTGTCATTTAATTGTCAGTGAAACACAAACCACCACCACGAGCCAAGCACTTTGCACCCACACAGATGTTAGGAATAAAGAGCTAACAAGAAGAGCTATGGGACTCAGCCCCTCACCACACACACAGCTGGTGGAATGTGAAAACGTGCCTCTGAAAAACAGGTGGGTAGTTTCACAGAGGTCACGCACCAAGCCAATCATGTGACCCAGTCATTCTATGTCTACAAGCTTTCTCGATAAAGGAAAACATAGTATGTCCACAGAAAAACTTGTACATGAAGCCAGGAGAGCATAAGTCACAGTGTCCATCAACTGAAAACAGACGGACATCTGGTATACCCACATAATGAAGTCATGGACAGGAATGAAGCTCAGACCAGACACAGATGGCCACATGCTACATGACTCTACAGGTGTGTGATGACCAGAACAGGCCAATCAGGAAAGACAGAACTCAGGCAAAAGGTGTGGAGGAGTCTGGCTCAGGTGGGCATGGCTGCTAATGAGTTCAAGTTGCTCGGCCTTTACAGTGAGGAAACTACTCCAAAACTAGAACAGGGTGCCGGCTGCAGCCTATGCCTGCACTAACATGCACCACTAGGTACTCTGCAAGCAGGTGACTTGTGGTATATGAATGCTATGTTCAGTGGGTGGTACCTGCCCTTTCCACCATGGGCACTAATAGCAGTACTTCTCACAGAGCTATCAGAATGAACAAACAGCACAGTCTGATTAGAGAGGTCTGGCAGTGACAAAGATGTCCCAGAAGAAGCATGCTGGGTCTCCCAAAAGGCTATAAATGCAAGAGGCCTGCTCAGGGGACCAAGGCTAGATCTGTAGGATCATTGGTTAAGCAAAGCCCAGCTTCTGGGAGCATCTCACTATGGCAAGAGCCCAAAGCCCCAACGGGATCCTGCAGAGTGTCCTGGCCAGTCCGTCAGCCTCCTTGACTTTTAACTGTCCATGGTCTCAACCTGCCTGCCTCCTTCTCATCCTGTTCTCACATGGCCTCCATCCTTCCTCATGTGGGCCCTGCCTCTAAGTACCTTCGCTGCCAGAGTCTTCAGGCTTGGCAATGCCTCTCCCTCCCCATCCTGCACTCCCAGTGCCTTCCCCAGCTACTCCTTCCTGTTCCATGTCGTTGAAGGCTGCCTAATGCTTGGCTCCGCTCTTATCTTTTACACCCACCCCTGTTCTCCAGTAATTACTTGTTAGGGAACAGTCTTCAAATCTAGTAAAAACCTGGAGGAAGAAGAATGCAAATACCCCCGGATCCGCCTTGCGGAGTTCACTGCATTAATTAGTAAAGTCATTCCAAACATATCATCATTCATCCCTGGCTCCAGAACCATAGCCAATCAATGTTTCTCAAGAGGGAAATTATTCAAAATATCTTGATCAGTAGCTCCAAGGCAGGAAATCTGCATATGAGCCTGTGGGATTGTATATGCACATGTGGATATGTGTATGTGTGCTCATCCGTACACATGTGTAAAGTAAGACTTTACAGAAAATCTCAAGGAACCCCTGCTCCCTGACTCCCTGCCCCAGGAATCCGTATGTAAAGTATAGTTAGGCTGAGGTCCCAAGGTAGATTCCTCCCCATTATGGTGCAAGGGTGTGAGCAGGTCCTTAGAGAAAAGTAATAAAACCTACATGGTCATGTTACCACCTGTCAGCAGCCTCTAGTTTCGTTGTGTGTTTAAGTGATTATGTGTGTGTACATGTTTTAAACGCAACACTTTCATTCCATCACAAGAAGCACCCACACTCCAAATTTATTTGAAACTGCACTTCCCACAGCTTCAAGAGTCACAATCCCCAGATCTGGGATAGTCCAGCATTCCATCTGAAAAAGGTGAGGAGATGGTGGGGCCTCAGATACCCCCCAACTGGGATTCCTGGTGGACAGTCCTAATAATAGTGTCCACCCCTTCAGTAATGGAAGTTTGGTCGGCAAGTGCCTCCGCACATTAGGCACCTAGCACCCTGCCCCAAGAAGACACGCTAGCAGGGAGACCTATATCTCCTTGGCCCTATGAGACCTTCTCTAAAACCCCTCTGCTCTCAGATGAAAATGGGTCACCAACATTCAAGTTTTGGAACAGCAGCAGCAAAGAGTTAATGGCCTCCAGAAGTCACCCTGTGGCTTTTCCTCCATGCTCCGTATTGATGTGAGTTCAGAACTGTAGCTCTACCTCTGTATCCACCAGCCAGAGTTTCGGAATCTTCATGGCTCCAGCCCCACCAGATATAAAAAAACATCCAGCCCTGATTCAGGGCTCCATCCACTGTGGTCACAACTGTCTACCTACCTCTGCCCTGCCCATCTGTGTATCATGTTAGAGCCTAAATGGCACTAACTTCCCTCACCCTGCACTGCACTACACTCTGTACCTGAACCCACACCCCACACGTGTGCCTTCACTCTACACACGTGTACAGAAGCCTGCACACCCCACACGTGTGCCTTCACTCTACACACGTGTACAGAAGCCTCAAACTTGCAACCCTGCATCCCATAAAAAGAACTGCAGAAAGTATTGAGAAGTAGCATCCGGCATGACCCCACACCTCTGCATGCATTGTCAGTCCCCTCTTTCCAGGGTTTGGTTTTCTCAGCAAAACAGGATGCTGTGACTCCAATGACACACTCCAGTGCCACTACGATGCACAAGGCACAGAGAACCCTCAGAGCAAGGGGACACTAAGTATCTTCCACCAGCGGTGGGATGGCCTCAGGGAGAAGTAGGATGGAGTCTCAGAAGTGGGCGGGGTCTCTGAGAAGTTCACAGGGTCTCCTGTGAAGGTGAATGGCATCCTCCGGGATGGTGTCAAGTTAAACCCATGGCTGTGTACCTCCCTCCTCCTCACCAACTGGTCTGTGCTCAGTGAATGCTATTTCCTCCGAGACTTTCTGATGGCCTGTGGGGACTGTCCTAAGCTAGACTGATGTCTCCAGACCCTTCTTAGCATGATCCTCACAAGGCTTTATCCCCCTTCTCTAGACAATGGCCTGTGGGGACTGTCCTGAGCTAGACTGATGTCTCCAGACCCTTCTTAGCATGATCCTCACAACGGCTTTATCCCCCTTCTCTAGACAATGGCCTGTGGGGACTGTCCTGAGCTAGACTGATATCTCCAGACCCTTCTTAGCATGATCCTCACAACGGCTTTATCCCCCTTCTCTAGACAATGGCCTGTGGGGACTGTCCTGAGCTAAACAGATGTCTCCAGACCCTTCTTAGCATGATCCTCACAACGGCTTTATCCCCCTTCTCTAGACAATGACCTGTGGGGACTGTCCTGAGCTAGACTGATGTCTCCAGACCCTTCTTAGCATGATCCTCACAACGGCTTTATCCCCCTTCTCTAGACAATGGCCTGTGGGGACTGTCCTGAGCTAAACAGATGTCTCCAGACCCTTCTTAGCATGATCCTCACAACGGCTTTATCACCCTTCTCTAGACACTGGAGCATTGGTAGGCTGTGGCAAGTCCCACTGTGAAAAAAATCATAGTTGGGCACCTTTGGTAAGGTCACCTGCCCTGCCACATCCATTTAGATGGGTACCATGCTCCTCAATCCCTGGTCCCAGGACTGATCTGCAGCTCCTGGATGGGCCATGATCTTCACAGAGGGTTTCTGCTTCCCTCCCCTGCCCCATGTAAACATCTTCTCAGACAAGAGTCAAGGCCCAGCGTGCTTAAGCAGCGTGACTTCATCATACTGCCAGTGCTCAACGACCCCAGTGAGTGCTGTGGGAACCTCCTCAGGAACACCCCTACCTCATGCCCTCCGTGGAGCGGTGACGGTAGTTTCGGTACAGCTGTGGCACGCCCAGCATGGCCTCGGTCAGCACAGCCAGGAAACCCAGCGTCTCCACAAACAGAGCCGAGTCGATGGACAGGTAGGTGACATAGCCTGCCACACCCGTGAAGGCCAGGACACACTGCACGTAGTCGGCAAAGCTGCTCCAGTGCCAGAAATGGTGAGTATCAAAGTCTGGGGGCAGACAGAGAGAGAGGCGCCTCAGTTGGGAGAGCAAATTGGAGCTTATGGGCAGAGAAACACCAAGGCATGGGCAGGTCTAGTCAGTGTGGGGACTGGAACCATGCGATGCGTCAAGGGCACGGTGAGGAGAAATGAATGGGTTAGAGCCATCCAAGGTTAGTGTGGAGAAATGGGTCAAGGCCAGTGGGAGGGGATGTGACCGGGACAAGCCGAGTGGGTCAGGGTCAATCGGTGTAGGTGTGGATAGCTCAAATCCAGTGTGAGAAGAGACACGAGCAAGCCAGTCAGGGTGGAGAGGAGCAGGCTGAGGTCAGTGTGGGGAGATGAGAGCATTCCGAAAAAAGCAATTCCAGAGACTCTTAGTACCAATACTGAGCCAACAGAAAGGACGTCCAGTCCTTTAACTTGATCCCGATAGTTCTAGGAAGGAACTCCAGTACACTGTACCACAGCCTCTGGAATCTGACTCCTGGGTTAGAACTACAGCTCCACCCTCTGTAACTCTGGTTAAACCGTGCGTCTCCATCCATTGGGTTAATGCACCCACCTCCTGGGACTGGTCTACGGGCTAATGCATCAGTCTATGAGCCTTATGATGTTTTTAGCCCACAGGAGGGATTCAGTCAACACACAGTTCTATTACTTCCCACTTGGTTGCTACAACAATATCCCATCTTGTTTGATGATAGACTCTAGAATATTCAGAAGCAGTCACACAAATGAACTAAATGACACTTCAGCAGGTGAATACTTGGGGCCCTGGAGACGGTGGCAGCTGCAGGGAAGCATCAGATGAGAAGGGGAAACGTGCCATAAGAGAGGACGTGGCATGGCTGTGTCTGACCTAGTTCTCAGATCAGCAAGTTCAAGGCGGAAACATCCAGCAGGTGTAAGTGGGCGGGGCCCAGAGATGCCAGGGCATAAGTTCTGCTGAGTGCGGCTGTTTTAATGGGGTGGTGGGATATTTTTCTCTCCTACTTTTGTCATTATTTTACTTTTGGTGCTGGGGAAGCATTCTAGGCAAGTGCCCTACCACTGAGCTAAACCCCAGCGCAATGAATACATTCTGTCAGAAGGAAAATGGCTAGTGGGTTACTGACTAGTTATCCCTGTTTGTAAGTGAAAACTGGACTGACTTAACATGCAGGTCACAGCAAAGTTGCATCCCTGGGGTTTTCAGAGGCCCAGCCTGCCCTGTATCAGCATTTCTGCATATGAGTTAGCAGGTCACCATCTCCCTGTGCTACAGGATCAATAATCAATAACCCATGCTGGTGAGGCACACACTTGTGTGTGTGTGTGTGTGTGTGTGTGTGTGTGTGTGTGTGTGTGTGTGTGGTGGGGGCTGGCTAACTTCCTCACAGTTACTCAGACGCAACACATTAAAAAAAAAAGGCTATATCTAACACTACCCCGGAAGTTCTTTTTTAAATCTGGGGGTGGACCAGGACAAAAAGGAGTAATCTGGAGAACCCCCAGAGAGCAGACACTGACCAGGTTATGTGCACTGAATGGCATTTTATATGTGTCACACACTATCTAGCTTGGAGGTAATGTTGTCCCGTACCCACCCCACTTACCAGACTCAGAGACACAAGGGAGTCACCCTGTCCAAGGTTACAAGTCTCCTGAAGCCTGAACCCAGTAGAAACTCCACAATAAAGACCTGCCTTTCTGGGTTTGGGAGTCTCTGAGGTCTCCCTCCTGAGCCTCAGCAACAGACATGTGGCCCTAACAGCCTAGATGTGTTACGAACACATCAATAAAAATCTGACTTGGGGCCTATGACAGGGCTAAAGCTATTCAAGGGGAACAGAGAATGTCACCATGTGTCATCTACAGTAAGGCTCTCAAGTGTTGGTGGCTCATGGACTATGTATGGCTTTAGTTTCTCTGCATTCTAGAGCCTTCATGATGCCAGGCTGGACCATCCACAGCTCCAGCATCCTGATGATGGCCTAAGGGGAAACAGGCACTGGCCCCTCAGACGAGAAGGCCAATCCTGAAAGGAGCCTGCCCTGGGGCAGCAGAACTCTCCTGAACTACACTGGGAGTATCCAGGCTGTACTGCCACCCTGTGCGGTGTTCCAGAACCTTCAGGGAGAGTGAAACCAACCCTCAGAGGTAAAGAGATTCCCAACAGATCACCAGAGAGAAGCATCGGCCCAAATGCAACATCGTCCCATGTGGCATGTGGTGACCAGGGACCTGGAGGCCAGGGCTGGTCCTTCAACAGCAGGTAGCAAGGGTCAGATGAGGGACAAGGGATGGCTGCTGGGACAACTGGCTACTGAGAGGCTGTGAGAAGACTTGAAGATGACAGGGAAGACACAGGGCCCCAATGAAGACAGACAGCAAAGAGGACATAAGGCTTTAGTAACCTAAAACAAACATTGCGGAAAGCTCTGAGGTCATTCCTAATGCCATTCAGAATCTATGATGTGCAACAGGATGAACAACCCAATTTAAAAAAAAATTGTCAGAAGGAATAGACAGAACGTGGCCAAGAAGCCCATGGAAGAAAACTCAGCATCCTCATGTCATAAAGACAAGTCCAGTCCTCCTGGACCCAGTGAGCAGAGCCTGAGTTCAGAGTCGCCCTAATACTGCTAAGACAGGGAAAGACTCAGGGTCTACCACAGCATTGAGTGCAGGAAGAAACCAAGTCCAGGGCAGGGTGCTTTTGTTGTTGTTGTTGTTGTTGTTGAGGTTGAGGTTGTTATTTACCCTCAAAAGCCCATCTCTAGGGCAGTGGTGGATGCCACCTTGAGAGTACCACCAAGGACAGCACAGTTACAGTAAGCAGTTTTGACACCTGTGGTTTACAACCCTTGGTCCTATGGTAGCCCACGAGCACCCTCATGTGGCTTATCTGTGCCAATTCAGGCAACGCCTTGCTGCTCCCGTAGGAGCAAAGTGAGAATGAGTCACATCCTCCGGACAGCAGTGGTGTCTGGACCCTGGCAGACGGGGCCTGGGTTCTCTCAGGCCCTGCCTAAAGTCCAAGCCAATGACATTCAGCCACTGAAAAGGCAGAGTGAACCCTAGACCCAGGAGGAACAGAATACAGGGCTCTCTACTTTGGACATGAGTTCTCAGAAATGACAGTTCCACTCTTAGCCAGCAGAGGTCAGGGTCCTTCCAGGACCAGCAGTGGCAGTAACCTCTGAGAAGCTGGGGGGGAGGGGCCGCTGATACTTGGCTCTGACACAAAGTAGGACCCAAGAGACTGAGCTGTTAGAGGTGGTAAGCTGGGTAAGGACAGACCACCCTGATGACAGCATGGCACCTCACAGCTCGACCTGGCAAGGGATCGTGGCACGTTTCTCTCCCGTCCCCTAAAGTACTCAGCTCCACCACGGCAGACCCACAGCCTCCAGGCTCAGAAAGGTTTCTTATGGCTGTCATGCTGTCCCATATCATCTGTGGCAGAGACACAAGACTGGAACTGTGGGCTGGAGAGAGCAGGAGCTCAGCTGGCCACCCAGAGCCCACACCTTAGCCTGTGAATCCGGGAGAGCCCGGATGAATTCGCATCAGCTGCAACTAACTCCTGCCACTCCTTCTGAGCCTCACTGAACAAGGCCACCTAATGAGGCCCACAAGGTGATTCTCACTCAAAACTGAGCACCCCCAGGGCCTGCAGTCATCACAGCCCCTGGGTCAACACTCCAGAACAGTTCCCACCATCCTGGGGGACAGCAGCCTCAAGGGAGACATCTTTAAGCCAATCACAAGAAACAGGAAACACAGTACTCTGTCCCCACCTGGGCAATTAAATGACTGACCAGGGCTCTGCACAGGAGACCAGGGAGAACCAGGCTTAGCAGCACAAGGGCAGAGGCACCTCCCAAGCCCCTTCCCCATCAATCACAGAAACACGCTTGTTTTCAAACCTGGAAGCCCTTCCTTCCTAGAAACACGCTTGTTTTCAAACCTGGAAGCCCTTCCTTCCTAGACAGTTATGGTTCCTTCCTCTCCCAGGGTCCCATCAGCAAGCCAACCACACATCCCAACCAGGGATGGAAGGGTACACACCTGACTCCAAAGCCTTACCACAAAGGAGAACAGGTCTGTCCAACAATGTCTGTGCTGACTGTACACTGAAGGAATGTTTTTTAAAAGAAACATAAAGGGTAACTTTACCCATTTCTTTTCACTTGTCTGGGGGACGGTGCCTTGAACCAGGTGGTCTCAGACTCCTGGGCCTCCTGAGTCTGGGGCTCCAGGTCCGCCCTGCTGCACCTGGCTTTTTCATCTCCTGGGATGGACTACAGAAAACTCGGCACTTCGCTGTGTGGCTCACGCACTGGCTACATTGTTTCCTCAGCAGAGCAGACCGCCTTCACTACTGCCTAGCAGCACCGTCTGCGCAGATCACCTGAGACTGGGAGACAGTTATCCTCATCAGACAGCCTGCCTAGAGGGTTCCAGGCCAGCCCTCCAACCCCCAGCCTGGCCAGACCCTCAGTCAGAAGACCATCTGAACCAGAGCTTCCCAGGTCAGGGCCAGAGAGAGGAAGATCAAACAGGCAGAAACCAGAGCCCGGCCAGGGCTACCAAAGTCGAGAGCAAAGCAGGGCTCTACTCCCAGGTGTAAGACAATAGACTATGCAGCAACTGATTTAGGCTCTTTTGCCTGGAGGACCCTGAGGCCTGTTGACACTGACATTCTGGGTAGTTGTGGGGAGACAGCCTTGTGTTTGGAAAATGCACTTAACCTCAAATGGCTCAAGGAAAAAAAAAATAACTGTAGCCCAAACTAAAACTTGGTGACATCCAAATAAATTAGTTAATTAAGATAAAAACAAAAGGCTCCAAACCTAGCCAGCCTGGTTCAGATTCATACACAGCCTTCCTTCCTTCCTGCAACTAGTGCCCACAGGGACACCGACTGAGAGGCAGAGGGCCTAGTCTCAGGACCACGAGAGATTCCAGGACATGGAGCCCCACCTGGAGAGATGACGAGAGCCACACTGCCCTGGCCCTCC